TAATTAATCACTTTGAATACATTCGAAGCGAAAAACAAAAGTAATCTTAACATCTTCGCGAAGCTACTCCCCCTAGGAAAAACTCAATTAACCATAAGAAGCTTTCTTTCTAAGAGTAGATTCGAAAATCTGAAAGATCTTTGTTCTTTACTTTTTGAATATCAAAGATATTCAAAATAGACAACAATTATTGGCACATCTTGTATAGTCTGTTCATTTTCATACACTAACCTGCAGTTAGTTTTCTTCGCCTCTTTCTCTACCATGTCTCACTTGTATACCTATTTCTTTCCGAGTTCCATACGTGTACATTAGTTTAGTGAAACAGAACAGACCTGCAAGCAAATTTAATTTGAGGCAGATTAGATTATACAAATATTTGGTACAAATATGTGGTAAATTTGTATGTAATTTCGTGTAATCTTTCGTTTGAATCAAACTCGACAAGTTAGAGAAGTCACACACTACGAGATGTAGTTTCCAATTAACGGAAATCCAGAAAACCGCCCTCAAGCGCGTACGTTCGCCTTTCTCGATTGAAGTCGCACCTCGCGCGCAACTTTTCTAGGAAGAACTTTCCGTGGAACTAACAAGACCAAATTAAAGCGACTGAGTCGCGCATGCGTTACGTAATCCCTCTTCGTGTCTCGCCGTGATAATTAGAAAAATGAGAACAAAAGTGCTCACTTTTTAACGTCGCGATTAAGCTCGCGCCGCGAAGTGAAGCGAGTCGAGTCAAGACGACGTGGCTCGAGTCGTCTCGCTGCACGACGCAAAAATGTCTACTTAAACCAAATATTGAATTAAGTGGCAAGCCATCGGCGACGAAGCCGCTTCTCAATTATGCAAACCATCATTAAGATATAAAAGTCGCTTGGGCCATTAATTCGTCGATACTCGAATTATGCGTGCAGCGGTGCGCGACCAATGTCGATGTCATGCATTATTCGTAACGAGAACGGCTCAGGTTATAAGACGTATTTTAAATCCGCGGCGTACACACAACATCTCAGGAACATGTTCTGTTCCTCGAGTCTCTCGCACCGCTTTCTCGCGGCATCGTGGTAGCAGGATTTAAAACGTGACTTGTTGCAACGCGGAGATACAGCGAGAGGTCGGCGAATTGGAAGGCAGCCAAGCTCACAGTGTACAAGGAGGGCGCGAAACGGTGCGAAGCGAAGCGGAGACGAGGACATTATCGGATTAGTTCGGATAATGTTAAAGTCGAATGTTAGGACGCGGAAAATGCTTCGACGTGCGCGCCAGTTGCGTTCCCTGCCGCTCTGCTGCGCGAAGTAAGATCGCTCTTCAGAATATTCGATGATGGATACTTTTAATAGGACGAGTCATGCGTTAATGACAGTCTATAAAGTAAATTGACAGCAAATTTATAGGGATTAAAGTTTTATCAATATGAAGTTTGATTGATGGAAACGGAATTTCTGGTCCGTGGAATCTCAAGTTTGAGTGATAATACCAGAAACCCTGCATTCTTAAACCGCGAAAATGAACTTAAACCAAAACGCTTTGATTCGTTCATTAAGAGTTCTAACTTCACGCTAATACAATCAAATTTTTCTACCCGCGTACTATTCACTATATATCGTTGTTTGAAAAGATTCTCTCTTCTTTCTATTATATATGTATATGCTAATTATATACTGTCATGTATAACACTCATATAATAATAATATAATACTCATATAATAATAATATAAATATATTAATAATATGTATATTTTATTCTTAACGAAATCTTTTTATGTTACTTCCTAAATTTCTAGAAATGGAATCTCACTTAATAAAAAATGGTAATATTTTTACTCAAAGTGTTAGTGAGAAAAGTACTTCTCGAAATGCAAGAGTGGATGTTTTATTCAAAGTTATAGTGGATTCTGACTCCATAATAGTAAATGTCTTAATCGATTAGAGTGGATATGTTCCTCTGACGGTGAAGTTCAGCAGATATATTCTTCAATAGAAGTGAGTGGAAATACTCACTTGACAATTCTAAGTCGAAAATTTATTCTGCATGAGAAACCACTCAGGTTCGAGTAACTTGATGAATATTTCGAATAAAGTTTCAATTCAAGATATTTAGAAAGTGTGACCTCTTCTAAGAGAGAATTCTTCTAAAATACGAAAAGAAAATACATTAAAAAACGAGAACTCTACTTTTAAAGTGCTGTTTCTTGCAACCTCGTGTTCTAAGCAAAAACTTTTATCCAAGAAATATTTCTCTCCTAATTGAAGAGGAAAATTGTGCTTAGAATATTTTTCTTGTGATTTAAAAAGAATTCTCTTTGACATCTTATATAAAAGAATTCCACTAAAGAAAAGATTATATTTTTTTGAGTGAATAATTGTATATTTTATTGTTATCATCATCATCATTATATTGTTATTTCTTTTTATTTTATATAAATATATTAATAATATATATAAAATAAAGGAATATAAGACAATACTATACCGCTGTGAAAATTGCGGCAGGATTAAAACGGGAAAACGCTGAACGCTCCGTTATTTCCAATCAATCAGAGATTCTAAAGTGATTCTACACTGTGTCAAAGGAAATAAATCGATGGTATCTCGCACGTTTATCTAGTGAAACGCGAAATTCGCAACGACTCCCGTGTTGCTGATCCTGCTTTGCTAACTGCGAGAGCTAGTACGCAACGATAAAGCACGTTTTGCGTCGCCGACACCGCGGGTTCGCGAGTTTAATTCGATCGCACATAGAATATGTTCTTGCTATACGTGTCGAGACACCGAGAGATGCCATCACCTTAGAACAATTATAGGTTTGCGCAGTCACGTTGCGTAACAAGCTCTCTACATTAACGCCATGCCGCGCGCGTTTTCGTGGCCGCCAGATCAATCTTGATCCCAATGATTGTGCTCGCGTTAATAGGGAACGCTATTTTCCGACAAAGCCCGAAGACATGACTGGCCGACGACCAAAATGACGTCATAATGCTCATCGCGCTAGTTACTCTATTCTCGTACGCTCCCGGATTCCAGAATATTATCGACGTCACGCGAAATTACCATTCTCCTCTAACATATTTCGATCCTGGACGTTCTCTTGCATCTATTACAATATTAAATAATAATTCAAATAGTTCCAATCTCTTAAGATTTGTATTTTCTTCTAGAAATCATATTCGTAGAAAAGTATCTTTTGAATGAGGAATTATGGGTCGTTAATAAAGAATTATATCATTTGTTTGACATGTAGAAATATTAATCCACAGAGAATGAGCGCAAATTGCAATGCGTTATTGTTTAAAAAATTACGGATAACAAACGCAGTACTTATATAGTAGAAAGATTCACAGATAAATCCCGATAATTCCCCCATGCCACCCTTATATTAGGACCTTAACTTAGTTTCCGCCCAAAAAATACTGAGAAAAAGCATTTATTGTAAAAAATTTATTTAAATTATTTCAATGAAAGTATTTTCCATCACTTTCTACAACTTTTTGCCATCTTTCTGGCAACTGGGCGATACCATCTCGATAAAACGATGTTTGTTTCGAAGCAATCCATTCGTCCACCCATTCTCGCACTTCTTCAACATTTCGGAAGCGTGTACCACTCAA